AATGGCCAAATAGAAATTTCGGAGGGCTCATACCAAGTGTTTTGAATGAAAAGCAAAAGATTTCGATAGCCAAGGATTCCAACATTCGACCTCGTGTCTCTGAAGCAATGCACTTATCCACTAGGCCATCGGCGGCTTGCCGCATGCAGTTATCCTTCTCAACTTGAGCAAACGGAGCTAAGATTAAATGGTCCGTAACTCCCTTTGGAGAATCGTTCCGCAAAATCGGAGGGCAGATTTGGATTCGGCGGCTCAAGACACGTCCATATTTATACATCTCACTGCAAATGGCCGGATCGACCTGTTGGGGTTCCCTTGTCAGACAGGGTCATTAGAAGGGGTGTTAGGTGTCATTAGAACAAGCCAAGAAGAAGACAATAATGCAACACCAGATCCTGCTCACAGCTGCTGCGAGCTCCGCACATATATCAAAGTATAGTCCTCATCACTGCGTACCGGCGGGCATGTAGTGCGCTGCGCTTGGCGCGGTGTTCTGCACCAGTTGTTGAAGCGGGCAAGTGACATTACTGTATTATATCCTTCGTATTACTCGTTTTCTACCACTTTTTGTCGCATACGCGTTTCAAAAAAGGCTGAGAACGGCTTCAACAGTGTGCACACTCATACTGGCTGACACGCCCCACCGGTCCGCAATGATGAGGACTGTATGTACAGTTTCGCTTCCTACGTGCGGAGATACGCTAAGCCATTGGTAAGGGAGAAACTCCCAGTTTCCCTAGGTTAAAAGGAACGGTCCGTGGCTTCGAAGAAAGACTGTGTATCCACCTACGTAGATCGTGGTCCTGGCCATGTACGGGGTGAATGAATTCGACGCTGGAGTAGTGTGCCATTTCCTCCAATTGAAATAGCATATACTCAAAATCTCTGGATCGGATAGGCGTGGCTGCGTACTTATTTTAAAAAAGCGGCGGCCTAGGTTTCCGTAAAATATTTTCATTTTGGAACAGTCGTAATCATGTCTACATCTAAGACAGAACGAGATGGCAGTTCTTTCGAATGAAATATCCGACGAGTAACCCGTCCTATGCCATGCTCAAAAGCTACGCCTACCCCGTCTCAGGGCTAAAGAGTGTAGAAACGGGGAGGAAGAGATGTGATGCACTGGTTGTCTTCTCGACTCCGCCCGTCCCTACCGGTCAGTCGCAGAATTAGCGTTACATAATGAGCCATGCTTTGAAACTCTGGAGTTTGCCAAGAATTTTTGTAGCATTAAATGGAAGTATATAGAAGCAACCTTATATACATTTATGCTCATAAAGGGGGGAGGGCATTTCCCCTTCCACTAAGCAGTAGAGATTAACCAGAAAAGAGAGATCGCAGACAAGCAGCGCGCTTGGCCATGGTTAGGCGAGTGGCTGGATGTGCAGCAGCGTGAGAGTAACGTGGAGACGGCACACGGTCACTGCCGTCGAGCCCTAATTCCTGCACTTTAAGCGGAGAAAGTGGCAAGCTACTGCAACTGCAGATCAATCCTCACTACACACAGCAAGGCCGAGAACCACGGAAATGGGTGTAAACTCTGCCTTGAACCTGAGTGAAAGCTTAGGCTAGCATAACAAACCTGGATGTTCGGCAGTGTTCATTGAAGTCTTGAGGCAAAGAAAGCCATCTGAGCGTTGTTGTCGCAAAACATTGCATCTGGCTGCGTCGGCGATTTAAGCTGCTGCCAGTAATCTTAATTGGTATTGCATTAGCTTCGAAGTACTACCCTCATGCTATACATAGTACCCCTGCCTAAAGAGAGTTTTTTTCTTACAGTTTGTGCCTCATTGGCCCCAACAACAAATTACTATATGCAAGCCCGTATGCTTAGTTGGCTACGCAGCTTATTAGCTTAGCCGTTTAGGTTTCCAGTAGCGTCAGCCTTTCAATAGATTTGATCCATAAAAACAGCAGCTAGGTTCATCTTTTCTGCCCAACGTAGCTCGGTGCAGACCGATCCATTTCATACCCACACCAAATCGAGGAGCTACGATTGCAGCGATGTGGGTTGAGCTTTGGTTGGGTCAGTCGCGTGACGCCGTGGATGGGCCACATGACGTACTCTAATCGCAGAGTATTCAGCTGTCATCATCTAATCAAAAGGGCTTCAATTTGAAAGTACATTTTAATGGTCATGCCGACGAGGTGACCTTCGACTATGGATTTGAAGCACGTAAGTGATGCTCTGAACCACTTTCGAAGGTCAGCTTCATTGGCCCCCGAATAGCTCCGATTTTCTAGAAGGAGTGCCGCAGATTCTACTGGATTCTGTTTCGTGGCACCTGCCAGCCAGAGAAACCTTATCTTGACAGTGATTTTTGGAAGCTAGGCCATGGGAGAGCCCATTTCCAAAGTTCTGCGAGTACCCAGGTGTCCCTGGTAAGTTGTATTCCCGCTGATCATCATGGAAGATGATCAATGGTCGTCCACGGCGGTTTTCTTAAAGACAGCGCCCGCGATGGACTTTGGCAGGTCTCAGGGGTCAAATTTGTTAGAACAGGTGGCCAATGAAGCACTAATCAAAAAAAGTAGGAAAAAGGTGTGGAAGAGCGTGAAATAAGACCCTACGAAATTTAAGGCATGTGGACGAGTTTCGCAGACCTTTGGTGAGTTCTCCAATACACGTCGCCGGCTCGGAACTCCAGAAACTTAGCGTTTATCAATGCCAGCAAGCACTGATAACTGTTAACCAGTCGGGGCGGGATTAACAGGGAAGGAGGCGTCAGCTCAGCCTTGTTGACTCCGCCCTCGTCAATCAATACATTTCGAGCCGCAAGAGTGGGATATCCGCTATGGTTGCGAACTCCGCGTTCGTTTTCATTGGAGGGTTTTTTTCACTTTGGTTGATCGCGGACGCTGCCTTTAAGGCTGACTGTAGATACTGTTGGTTTTTCAAAAGAGTAGTCCCTTCATCAGATTTGCCGGTGATGGCAGCACTCGCTTCGATCGCGCGTTTCTTTTAGAGCTCCTCATAAAATTGATGGTACGGAAATGAAGTCATCTAGTCGTAGTTGACTAATTTCACGAATGTTAAGATGCTTTGGATGCTTTTCTTTTGACATTTTCGGCAGTCTTCTAAGTGGTGATCACAATTGACTAAGGAAGCGCAAAACAAACAAAAGTCCAGCTGCAAAGGATTTACTACCAGCAGAATTTCTTTCAATCCATCTCACGCTTTACGAACTGCGCTAGCTGCGATTTAAATAATGTAATGTTTGTTCTGTTCTGATTACTTATATCTATATCTGCTTTGTCGATTAAGCGAACTCAGCGCGTTATGGAGCGGTAAAGTATTACCTTGACAAAGTGATTCACTGTTACTGGCAAGCTTCCATAACCTACGTCATGGCAATACCGTACCGGGTAAACCGATGGGCTCTTGTAGAAATGCCAGAGGCAGCACTATAAAGATATAGAATATACAAAGAGACAGATGTCGCAGGTGTATGGCAGATTCCATAGTCTTCTGGGACCTTGAAAACAAGCTGTACACACACACCTCGAAGACGGCTCTGCTGCCGCTTCAGCAGGAACAAACAGGATGGCACTGAAATTACATGCTAGCATTTTAGTCAAGCTGAGATAGCGCAGAAATGATGCTGAAGGGTAGTATTACCAGAATCAAATTCTGGACTCCGCCTGTGCTACGCTGTCCTAGAGTGCTGCACTTGCGTAGGAACCAAAATACCGCACCGTAGAGTGCAGACCAATTTGAAGGAGGACGCAGATTGGTAGCGCGTTCCCACCTACTGGTCAAGTGTGGGGTAGCGCGGCGGCTTCGCAAGGGCCCTTTGTATGAAACTACTCTATCTGCCCGCGTCTCTGTGCAATTCCTGAGCACGACAAAGTGGCGTGGCAAAAAACCTTCCTTCGGACATAGAGCGAGCGGACCAGGATTCGCGAAGCGATGAGTGGGGCGGGCAAACTTAAAGGTAGCCTATCGTGGAGGTCAATTTCCCGAAAGTGAAGACGTGGGTAGGCAGAACGCGATAACCCCCCAGACTACGTACCTTATAAAACCCCGGTGCTTACCAAATACTTTCACGCAGCGAAAGTGTATACCCTAAAATCCATAGATAAGAGCGGTTTAATTTACCGGTGAAAAATAAATTGGAATGAAATTGAAATTGAATGCAGTCACCCCTCTAACTTGATGGATGGATAAATAAAAATCGGGGAAGAAGTTTTACGCAAGAAAAGCTCCCGCCTGCAACTCTAAACCGCCGCGCCACTTAATACAACAATTCACTATAGAAAAAGAAGCGATCTCAAATTCAGAATTTCTGCCGGAATGCTCTTAGAAAATGCGCGGAATTTGATCTCGGATTAGAACTTGAGTACAAGAATAAAGGTAGAGTTGTAGGCTATTATTGCGATAATCATGAGCACACAACGCCAAAAAAACGTATACAAACGTCAATTTTCATTTTCTAGCACAAACCGCTCTTATCTATGGACCGCTCTTATCTATGGGATTTTAGGGTAATTTATGCGCAACGGACCCGGCCCAGTTACATATAAACTTGCATTTACGCAGTTCGGCTTTGGCGAGCCTGGGGGGCGGGTGGTGCAGGAGTGGAGGGTTCCCAAGTTCCAATCAATGTTCCAATTCAGAAGCTGCTTACAAGTTCTGTAAGTTGCGGCTGTCTTTCAAACAAACGAATCTATTGACCGCAGCAACAATTCACACCCGGTAGGCAAGACGCGCCAAACATTCTGCTTTTCAAGTGAGCGGGAATGAGGATGGGGTCTTCAACAATGAGAAAGGAAAATTTCGGTCTGACGCCCCGAAGAAAGACTTGCGGACGGCTGGGTACTTTTCGCCGTAGAAACAAGTTGCCTTTTCTTGCGGACCACCACTTACAAGAACGCTCCACGGCAACATAAGATGCAAGGGTTTGTGACCTCTTCCCAGTCAGGAAACTATAGCATACGATTCCGATGGAATAGGTTCTTTTGAGAGTTCCTTCAAAGTAAAATACTTGCATGTCAAAATACCTGAAAGGGCTACCCATGATGGCCAAATGACCGTTGTACTCTAGAGTAGGCCTAAGCACATCATACACAGTTGCGTCGTCTGAATCCAAGTAGGTACCGATCTGCGACAACCGATAAATACTTTGCCTTCGCAGCAACCTCGTGATCGTACCAAAGTAGTCGTTGAAATCAGTCGCGACCTGCAAAGAATACTGTGAAAAGCTCACAAATAATTTCCATAATAACTTCTGTCATCGTTTCTTGGCCAACCTGTCCGAAGCACCCGCGTTCATTTGAAGTTTCAGACGCTCTCTCTGACATGGAGTCCTGGTCGCACGAGCACAGAGGAATGTTCTACTTTTTAGCGCTCAGAATACACTTGATGAAGGTGCGTGCACTGATCGGCAGGCCCGCTCCGTCCACTATCCACCGGTCAAGCGCCTAACGTTGCATGTTCTTGAAGCCGTCCTTGTAGTGGCGGTTGCATCCGCTGTTCGGCTCTCGTCCATTTTGGGGTGATAAGGGCGAGGGGTAGTATAAGGGAAAAAACTGCCATAATGCAAAGAGAGAACTCTGCCAAACCACGTCCTCATCTATTTTATGCACCTACTAGAGCAGTTCAGCAGGGGGCTCTGTATGAGACAATTTTGGCGGATTTTAATTTTTCCTACTTTTTTCTTCACTTTTGTTTTGTTCACCGTCATGTCATTAGTATTTGAGTCCGCGCCACATTCACCACTTTGAACGCGGGTGTGTCTTCAACTATAGCTGCCTTGAAATAAAACAGGTTTCAATATTCAATGTTGAAGACGTACCGATGAGAATGGCTTCCAAACAAGTTCTTCGTTCGTGAGTCGCTGTGGATATCCCACCAAGAAGGCGATGCGATTGAAATCGTCCATGTTTGGAGAAGGGTAAGAAAGGTGGTTCGTTAAGAAGTCTTTTTTCAACTCTCCAAGAAATGAAGACTGAATCCAGCAATTAATGAAGTGGTAGTGGTCGTTGGGCTAGTCGTTATCCACTTGAGTCAGTCGCGGCGTGTCAGCGGAGGGTGGGTTTTGGCGTGAGGCCAGCGTGTGTTCCATCGACCGTTGCGACATTGGCTATTCAGTGAGGGGTGGGTGAAGAGTTGACGTCTCGCCAGAAACCCGCGCTGGTGGCACGCTCGAACTGACTTCAATGATAATGTTGCGTTCATACTTTTTAGCAGTCCACCAGTGTAAAGCGTCACCGCGGCGGGGCGTCAGCTGACTCAGGACAGAATAAGATATCGATCTAGCGCCTGCCAGCGTTCGGGAGTGGAGAGTATGGCGCGATATCAGGGTAGCAGACAGCTGGTAGAGTATGGGGAGATAGGAAGGTAGCAGACTTCTGGTAGAGAGTATGGAACGATAGGAGGGTAGCACACAACTAGTAGAATATGGTGAGATAGGAGGGTAGCAGACTGCTGGTCACTGGTGGACGCTTAGGCGCTGGCAGACGCTAGATTGATATCCATACCTCCCTGGCCCTCGAAACGTCGGTGGACGTTTATAGACGCTGATAAATGCTGTTGAACGCTGGCAAACGCTAGATCGATTTCGATTCTTTTCGCTGAAGCTGCCGGACGCTGCCGCAAGAGTTATGCGCAGCCAACGACTGTAGCTACAGCAACATATTTATTGAGTAACAATAACTGACTCACTTTATCTTTCTTTCCCAAGCGATTGTTGGCAATGTATAGCTTCTGAGCAGGCTCGAAACTTTCAAGATTTTCAGCGCACTGTAACCAGCTGAACGGCGCTGCGATGTCGTTGGCTATACAAGGGTAGACCGACTGAATTGCACTTACCTCATCTGTCGTTGTTCATCAAAAGCAAAGGTTTTCCGAAAATGTTTTCAACTGTTACACTACAAAGATAGTTGGCCATGGTTTGAAAGTGAGTAACGAGAGACGGGCAGTAACGGCGAGACGGTTTGAAATACTCAAGATTCATCACCGATACCATGGTTTCATCCGTCAATTTAAGTATGGGAGATAGCTCAGCTCCGAGCAAATCTCGCCAGCCAATCTGAACAGAAATTTAGGCAGATGTCAATTATTTATGAGAGAGGTAGGTTGTTATGAGAATGCTTATCCAGTTGCACAGAAAAATTGTCGCAACCTGCGGCACTGCCGATTTGAAGTCGTTTAACGTCATGTCGGTAATGTTCTGCTCTGAAGATCTGGTGAGCTGAAAAGAGGTAGAAGCAGGATCATTGTCCGTGGAAAAAGTTCGCAGTGAAATTCACAGATGCCACAGTTCTCTCTTCTGAAAGAGGGATTGATGGTGACAGATCGAAGAAGAGGGCGTTCAGCAACCACTTAGGTTCTTTGCGAGTTAGAAGGATATTCGTGCAATCACTCAAATGAGGGTATCCGCCCCTTTTGTGCGAAGTGGGTCCCGCATCTGCAGTACAGTGCTGCTTTCGCCGCTCAAAAGTGCGCAAAACTGGTCTGTAGGGTGGTGCTACAAGAGTGCCGTCTTCATACTCCGAGTTATCCTCAAGGTGCAGCCCCTGCGTCGATAGTATACGCACTCCATGGTAGAAAAACTAGAGGTGATTATACAAAACAAGTGCGCGTTCGCCATAGCTGGGTGCGTGGTTTTTAGGCGGGAGAGCAGAGAGACAGCACTCAAGAGCCGCTACCCTCCAACCCTTTTTTTCTTGGATATTTGACCGGAGACACTGGATAGCTATTGGAGCTACAGAGACATCTCTCCTCACGCGGGATCGACAAGGATCCAGGAGGTGAATGTATAGTTTGTCTTCAGAGTGTTCACAGCCTACAACGAATGTTCTTTGATACGTAGCTGGAGAAGTTTCAGAAAACTTTTGGCCTATTGACGAAATAAGGAAAATTCGTCTTGGCAGCGGTAAATAATGGCCCTAGTGTGGAACTTCGGCCGTGTTGAATTAATTCCTTCACAACGCTTTATAGTTACATTCTTTTTTCCTCCCTCATCGTCATTCCTCGGCTTGGCCTTGTCGTTCGACATTTTCTTGCATTGAGAACATCTCTGCCATGGTGTTGGCTACACTTTGATTCTTCATTTACTTATTTATTCAGCACTACAGTGTACGCGATGATAATGTGTAGCAAAACTACGGAAACTCATTCCGCAGTAAAATTACTCATTTACCCAGGATACTCGTAGCGCCAACCGTCGAGGTTTTCGTCGCAGAGGGTAATAATGGAACGGCGAAGAACTCAAGTTGAAAGAATTCCTCATGATAGCATAGTGGCCGTGTAGGGGCATTGGGGCTCACTATTGTGTTGGGAAGGACGCACTGTTCTGGCCCTGGCATTATCGTGCTCGTCCTCAGCGTCTTTCAAACACGCGGTCATTACAATCGCTTTCTGCATGTCGTTAGCTGCAGTAGGCCGTCTGACTGTCCGCGATTATGCCTTTTCTGACTCTTGCGTAAGCGGAGTCGCCGTCACATTTTTCCATCTGTTGAGCGTTCAGTCTTATCGAAGCCTGCTTTGCCGGGTTCTGCCGCAGGGACAAGCATTCCTGTCGCGACGCTTGCTGGGTAAAAAAATGCATTGATTTAGGCCTTCAATGATGATCGCGCTCTGTATCTCGCTTTTCATGTACGTGCCAGTCCCTATTTGCTTTAAGCGTTTTCTGCTTATATGGGTTCCTCACGATGTTCCCGGCTCTTAGTCTTCGCCATTGTATTGAACAGGTTGTCCACGTTCTCCAGTGCTCCGGGTGCCTGCACACTGCATCTTCCCAATATATTGAACAGGTTGTCCACTTCTCCAGGCTCCCGGGTGCCTGCACTCAAGAGCGTTCACCGAATGCAAGTACTTGAACTTACCACAAGAATGCTGAGATATTGGCAAAAGTCGGACCCGGGACGGGACTTGAACCCGCATCTCCCGCTTACCCGGGCGGTTGCGTTATCCATTACGCTACCGGGGCCTTCTTTGCCTTCTCAGCTCAATGGCATTTCGTGGTGACTTACGGAGCGCGCACTGCGGCGTTAAACAGCAATTATGAGAACTAAAACAGCAGGTATTTGAATTTTTCTCTGCTTCATAGCAGTTGCAGACCCTCCTAAACACTCGGATATCCTTCGCTTGGTTGAAGGCAGACCTACTTTTGAGTAGAGTAATTATTACCTTCCTCTCCTTATCCAAATAGTCCGGTCCGCGATGTCTGAGATTGTACCACTGTTGTGACTCCACAGAGTGACGAGAGCATGAGGCCGTCAAACGTTGGAAGTACGGTGTAGGATGCCTAGCCCATTGAAGGCAGTTCGCACGATAAACCTCTAAGAAGAGTAGGACTGATACCGCCTGGCAGGACAGGATTCCGCGACCCTAAGCAGGTGCTGCGTAGCGCCTTTTCTGAGGGAGGCACCCTTAGAAGGGCCATATCGAGCTACAACATTACGACCCGAGCGCCCACCACGCCCGCCCGCCCACAAATGGACGACCGTACCTGACGCTCGTATTGCTTTATTTGCAAAGTAAAATATGAAGCGAAGAGATTGGTATGAAGCGGCTGCGGTGCTGCATGGATATATGGGAACATACATGCAGCCGTACCCACCGTAGCGGTTATTGGCAAGATGTCTACGGAAAACTCGTCCGAAATTGTCATTAAGGACGAAGGTTTTTCTTCGCAGGTTTTTGACCGTTTCACTTCGTTTTTTCGCCATTTTCCCCACTATATGGCGCCCTGCTAGCATTTTAGGCCAATTAACAAAATATCGTGCCAACTGCCTTTGAAGGCGAGCTTATTAACAGTCGTTTCTGTAAGTGCAGGCGAAATCGGTTGCGTATGAGACTAGCCTGTGGATTCTGGCAATCGGCTCGCCCTCCCATGACGAATTTTAGGCATTCTGTTCTTCTTGAACTCCCTTATTGAAAACAGTCTCAGCTCATGTTGTTGAAAGCAATTCAGTTGACAACGAAATATGCGTTTTGCTTTGCTTCATTGAACCGAGGATGCAGTGCTACAGGTGTTGGATGTACGGGAGTACTTCCACACCAATTCCCAAAACTGTTTTATACTCCGCTTTCTATGCGGTTTTTTCGTTTTTTTTTCAAGTGTCGTGCGGCATTTTGTGCTTATGGGATCGAGCGATACTGTACCAGAGGATGCAGGCGACGGTCACATAAGTTCTCTGGCATGAAAACAGCATGTCCGGAAAACTCGTCCGGTCAAGAGCCCTTATTTTGCTTTGTTGTTTATTGCTTTCGTTTCTTTCTTCACTGTCAGGTCACTGGCAACCCTCATTACACTGCTGGACTTCACCAATAACAACTGGCAATCGCAAGGGATGTCTTTGAGGGCGAAGAGCTATGATTCTCAAGGTGACGACTTACTCGAGCTGAACACAATCTGGTAATCAGAACTCACTTTATCAATGTCTAACATGAGCTGAGCAACGTCTTCAAGCATATTTTGCCGTTGTAGTTCGTCCGGTGAAATGAGCGAAAGTACTGGATCGTTGGATAGATTCTGAACGATCAATAATACTGACAGCTACATTTATTACACAATCCCCTATGACGATAAGATTCTACCTGTCGGATTTGCACTTGCAGAAGCGGTTCCAACTCTGTTGGTCCAGGATTAGCAATCTTTATGAGATCTGCTCGAATTGGACCAATGATCTCTGACAAATCAGGTGGTCGGAACTGAAACCGTGTATGCCATGAAGAGAAAGGAACTCATTTAACCCCAGAAGTGCAATCACTTATTTAGAATATCTCACCTGTAGAATTAGTTGAGAACGATCCTGTGGGTGCACACCAGTGCTGAACACCACAAAATTAAATTGGTCGGCATACCAGTCAAGCATACCGCTATGTCGCTCCCAACTGAAAATCATTAGTGCCAGTGACGCCACGTTGAGAAATTCGTACACTGTGGTAGCAAACCTGTACGAGATTGGGCTGAAATTGCACCCATCCAGAATCGGGCCACATGGGAGATTCTTCAAGAGGTCTATAAGCGGTGAATATCCCACTTTGGCTCTGAATATGAACGGTCCGATGAATGATTTAAACGTAGAGCCGTTGCACTGCTAGGTGTTTAGCCTTGAAATCTCGAGCGCAAGGCGCTAGAGGAGCAAAAAAGCAAAAAAAGAGCAAAAAAAAAAACCGAAACAGCTCCTGAGACCTTCGTCTAGGACTGGTAGGATCTCCGAAGATTTTATTTGGGAATTCTGAATCCGTTTTGGGGCATAAAATACCTAGCACTGGCCAGTCTGACATTAGGACTCGGAACCCTCCCTGTGCGTTTTACCTATCCGAGAATACTTATTTCAATAGAACTTTCGAAATGACCCTAAATTCGTGAAGGGGAGGGGCATACTTTTACTCATGATGATTGCCAGAGGGGGGAGGCGACTGATTCTACAGTCTTATTCGCTGGAGAGTGTCAAGGGGCCGGATGACACCAGCCCGTTCCCCACCAGTTTTTGGAGAGGGTAAGCCACAACGACTGATGGGAAACGGGCTGATGCCGCACCAGATCCATCCCCCTCATGGCACACTTCCCGTGGGCTAACCATGCTTTCCTTCCCTCTGGCAGCTCTTCTTTGATAGGAACTTTGTCTGGGTAGATAGGACACTGGTTCCGACTGGCCAAGCCAGTTCATGGCATAAACCATTAAAAAGCCACCAAAACTCTAAAAGGAGTGGAATTCGAAGGATGGATGGATTAGAAAGTGACTCATCAACGATGGCTCCAAGTTTTCTTTCCGATACAGTGACGTTTCCGTAGTCACGATACTGGGACGCTCATCAGTGGCACGGTATGCACTTTTATGAAGCCCTCTCCAACCTAATAATTTTCTTCATATCCGATATAACGCAAATATAATACGAAATACCTTTGTTGAAAGTCCAAACAAGAACAGTAGACGGCACTGACAACCGAGCTGTTCTTGAAGTATCATTGGAATCTGTACTCGTCAGTATACCTGAAGGCTGTCGCCATTTTTAAACAAGGTAATGATGAAATATCTTTTAGAAGCGGTGCTTCCAACGATGGTGCTCATATCTGCGTGTTTCGCGCAGTGGTTCTCAGATAACGGTAACTCGCGAAAGGCTGGCTCATGAGCATAAGGTAACGTTCAGACTTGTATAACACTGTGATAATGGATTTTGACTTGAAGGCAGTTGGCACGATGATTTGGTGCTCGGCCTAAAATGCTAGTAGGGCGCTAGTGGGGAAATGGCGAAAGAACGGAGTGAAACGGTCAAAATCCTGCGAAGAAAGAGCCTCCGTTCTCAATGAAATCAATTTTGGACGAGTTTCCTGTAGGCATCTTGCCAATAACCGCTACCGAAGGTACGGCTGCATATGTGTACTCATATATCCATGCAGCATCACGGCCGCTTCATACCAATCCCTTCGCTTCATAATTTGCTTAGCAAATGAATCGAGCGTCAGGAACGGTCGTCCATTTGTGGGCGGGCGTTTGGGTCGGAATGTTGTGGCTTGATAGGGCCCTTATAAGGGCACCTCCCTT